TGAATGCTAAAAAAGGGGGGGCAGAAGGAACAGTGACAAAAGACCTGCTACAATTGTCAATAGACAAAGACAACAAGAATGTTGAAAAGAAAGTGGCATGAAGAATGGCATGCAATTGGAAAGTCCAGCCCTATGGGTGACAGATTGGGCAAAATACATGAGAATGGAGGGGAGATATCTCTCAATGAAGAAAAGATGCAATAAAAGGGGATACTGGGGAGAGGAGAAGTAGACTGAATGTCAAGTGGACCAAGAATGAGCTGCTCAAAAAAGCACCAACAACAAGACCCAAGAATGAGAGTAGTGTGTAAAATAGAGGACCAAAGGGAGGAGACAAATAGTGGAATAGGCTTAAAGAAAGAGGTGATACTAGACCTGGCTGTAAAATTCAAAGCCAAAGGGTTAGGAAGAAGGAACCACCGAGCAGGAAGCCCGGAGTTGAGAAGGATGGCAAATTCATCCAAGAGGGAAATATCCAAACCAGAGAAAACCCCATGAAACACATGGGGGTGTAAATACTACTCCAGAGATAGAATGCAGACTAGCCAAGAGAGGCAATCAGCAACCAAGCATTAAGCCCCTGACAAATGACAGGCAAAACATCAGCTCAGTATGAATGGGCCCAAATGTGTATGTCTAATGCCCAAAAGCAAAAGGTTCTAGAACATCTGCTTCACAGAAGTTTGGGGCATGAGACCAAGTGGAACATAACCAAGTGACCCACCAGTAGGGACAAAACTGGGAACATGCCTGAAGAATATAGAGAAGGTCGAGCACGTTAATGTGGAGTGAACACTTATACACTATCCAAATGCCAGAATTCCTGTCCTCATCAGAAATTTGTCTCAGTCAAAGAGGGAAGCATCAATGAAGGAATATATCCAGTTTGAGAGGCAGTAAAGGACTGAAGGAAGTAGTATGAGCACAGTCCAGTCACCATGACTCAGTGAAAGGCTTACAAAAAGAGAATAATGGATTCCAAGAAAGAAAATTGTGGTCTGCAAGGTTCACATTAGGAAACACAAGAGTATGTGCCCCAAAGGCATGAGAAATCTAAAACCTTGGAGCCAGATATAGCATTCAGACAAAGAGAAAGCTAAACTCAGTTGAAATGAGAGGAAGAAAGATGTCTGAAAGTACCAAACAAAGAATAGTTGTGAGAAAGTACATAGATCCTAGGTTAAGTACCCCATCTTCCCAAACAAAGAATAGTTGTGAGAAAGTACATAGATCCTAGGTTAAGTACTCCATCTTCCCAAACAAAGAATAGTTGTGAGAAAGTACTTAGATCCTAGGTTAAGTACCCCATCTTCCCAAACAAATAGCCACAGGAAATGAAAGGAATCAGGTGAGAATGTTGAAAAATAGATGAATAGAAAAAATGAATTTAAGAAAATGAACATCAGCCCCAGACTGTAAACATGGAAAATGAAGGCCCTCCTGATACCAATGAATACGAAAGGGGCTGATGCTTAAGCAAGGGAAGGAAAGATGGACAAAACACAGAATACAAATGAAGAATTGATCAAGAAGAACACACAGGAAACATCTGACACATCAAACATGGACAACCACAGACTGGGTGAAAAGGACTCGATGGTGTCAGGGATTGGTGAAAACAAAAATGGAAAGAGAAGTGGGGCAAGAAAAGAGACCATGGAGGAGAACTAAAAAAACAACTAACAGCAGAAAATAAGACCAACAGCATGAGAAGAGATGGGTACCCAAAGAAGCATGAGTATGTACAAGTCACTGACAAGAAGAGTGACGAATTAGACCTCTGGTACAGGAAAGATGAGGAAAAAAGGCAGGTTTGGGCTCCAGAATGGGAAACATAGGAGTTGGCAATTCTAGATGAAGAAGAAAAGTAAAGGGTAAGGCTGAGACAGTTGGGAAAACAACATCATAATATAAGAACAGAAGCCA